AAGGAAGGAAGGGAGGGAGGAAGGAAGTAGTAGGTGTGAAGAGGACAAAAACATTCTTGACAGAAAAATGTCACCTAATATGTGTAGACAGAATAACTGAATTGAGAAATCACTTTGCAGTCTCCAATGAGGTGTGCTTTGAGACACCTGATTTGCTGTCTTCAAATGGTAAATGTCATGAAAGAATAAGGTGGGGGAATGTTCTAGAGTAAAGGGGGCAATAAAGACAAGTAAATGCAATGCATGATCTTTGTTTTGATGCTGGATCTTTTTTTAAAGGTACAAAAGAAATTACTGAGATAACTGGTTAAATTTTAAAATGGCTATTTATTAGATAATGTTGTATCAAGGATAAACTTCTTAGGTGTGCAGATTATATTGTACTCATGTAGCAGAATATTCTAGTTCATAGGAGATACATGCAAAAGTACCTAGGGATGAAATGGCTTCACATCTGCCACTTACATCCACATTGCTCAGCAGTACATGGTTGTACCTTGTGCTGCCTTTTTAACTTTTCTATGATTTTGGACACTTGGAAATTAAAAACTTGGCTGGGTATGGTGGCTCATGCCTATAATCCCAGCACTTTGGAAGACTGAGGATTGCTTGTGCCTCAGAGTTCGAGACCAGCCTAGGCAACATAGCAAGATCTCATCTCTACAAAAATAATAATAATAATAATCAGCTGGGTGTGGTAGATCCCTCCCATAGTCCCCCAGCTAATAAGGAGGCTGAGGTGGAAGAATTGCCTGAGCTCAGGAGGTCAAGGCTGCAGTGAGTTGTGATCATGTCATTGCACTGCAGCCTGGGCAACAGAGTGAGACCCCAACTCAAAAAAAGTTGGGGGGAATTGAGACCTAAGATATTGGTTTAGAAAACTGAGTTAATAATTATATGTATCTCACAAGGTAATTGAGTATTAATAAATTAATATATGTAAAGTTATCACATTACTAATATTATGACATCAAAAGTAGCAAAGTATTTGATCATTACAGAATGAAAAGATATCCCTTAACCAAAAATAGCTATTTTTTTTTTTTTTTTGCATGACTTACTGAAAGTTTCTGGCAATAGGAGGTGAAAATATAAAAAGAAGATTCCCATTATTTTGGAAAATGACCTGGATAGACCTTTTGGTCACACACATGAAAATTAACACCTATTCATTGATCTTGCATAAAAGAAAGACCTCCATAAAAATGAAATCCAATGGTGAAGACAGAGCTGTTTAACTCTCTCAGGAATATAAATTGGGTGTCTGTTTGGCCAAACTGTGACCTTTGAAGTATTGGATAAAAGTCCTTTTTTAAAATGGGGATTTAAACTGAGCTTTGGTTAGCACAAATCTCCATATGACTGGCTGAAAGTAAATTACAATGCCTTGGGAGCCATGAGGCTCACTACTGAAATCAGACCACACCCATAAGGCGTGAGGGGTCCTCTGAAGGCAATGAATGCTGCCACTTGCATGGAGGTAACTGTGCTCTCTTTGGGGACTCAAGGGCTGCTGGAGAGACTCCTTCACCTAGTCCCCACAGATAGAAGCAACCCAGGAGGTAGAATCTTAGCTGAGGTAAAGGCACTATTAGCCCAAGAACAACTCTCCATTGAAGACTTTTAAAAATCACTCCTTCCCCCAGCCAAGTCCAACAAAGCTTTAAGACAGAAGCCTGGGCATGGCTCTACTTTGCTGTAGAGTTAAGGGATGAGGCTTTTAGCAAGCACATTGGTACACAGATATAAAGCAGCCTGGTTTATTGCAGCACTATTCACAATAACAAAAACATGACACCAACCGACATGCCCATCGAAAGTGAACCGGATAAAGAAAATGAGGTATGTGCATATGAGGAAATACCATACAGCCATAAAGATGAACAAAATCAAGTCCTTCGCAGCAACATGGATGCAGCTAGAGACCATTATGCTTAGTGAACCATTACAGAAACAATAAACTGAATACCGCATGTTCTCACTCATAAGCAGACACTAAACATTGGGCACAAGGGCACAAAGGTAAAAACAATAGACACTGGGCACTGCTAAAGGAGGGAGGGAGGAGTGGTAAGGGGCATGCAACCACCCTTGGGTACCATGTCCACTGCTGGGGGGGAGGAGGCTCGCTGGAAGCCCACACCTCACCTTCATGCAATTTATTTATGTAGCAAATCCTCACATGAACCTCGAAGCCTGGGCAAGTGCATCAGCCAGGTGTCTGGCAGGAAAAGGATGTCATCCTCAAATTAAGATAGTAGGGAAGAATCCATAAAAGGTGTGGGCAGGGAGTAGAGAACCCAGAAGGTCATTGCACCTATGCCTGCAGGGACAAGAGAGAGAAGGACTTCTAGAACCTGGAAGGAAAGAATCTTATGGAGAAACTGAAGAGGCACTGTGACCTGCAGCTGGGGGACAGAGCCATCCTGACACATCCCTGCTGGGAGGGAGCCAGGGGAATCAACAGCTGACTGCACTGTCCTCTCTCCTTCTCATTTCCTGCCAGGACTCCTCATTGGTCAAACCAACCAGGAGCCAGAGGGCACAGAGCCCGCTGATATGGTCCACGTAAGTCAGGCTCCCGGAGCACAGAGTAGGGTGAGAGTCACGGAGTGTGCGTCCGGAGGGGTGAAGATTTCTGATGTGAGAGGCATACTAAGCACGAGCATGTGTTCACCTGCAGAGTTCAGAGATTGAGTGAAAATGTCAGAGGTGACAAGTAGCCACCAGGGTAAACTGTAAAAAGTGTAAACAGCTGAACAGTAAATAAGTAGGCACAATCAACTTGCTCCAAATCAAATCATGACCACTCTTTATGTATGCATATCATCTCTCTATTTATCAAACATACATATGCCCATTAAATGAATTGTTTATTGCCGTAGCCTGTCTGGCTGCCTTGAGGGTCCCAACAGACAGTGGCGAGAGATTAAGAAAGACACAGACACGAAGACAAAGAAAAGCTGGGGCCAGGTGGGACACTTTCCTTCGATGGAGAAGTGGCCCCAAACTAGCTCAGCATGTTTATTTTATAATCAAGCACAAAGGAAGTGGAAGGGATTCAAGGTCTGTGAGGGAGCTATAATGGAATTTTGTTGCTATCTAAATGTCAAGTTGTTCTGCGGTTATCTTGTTGTAGCTAAGGCTCTATCTGTACTATGTGCACCCGGATGTGTGGGCATCTGAGATGCCGTTTCATGTGGCAGCCTGCATCCCTTGCCTTTGGCTAGGATGCAGAATTACCAAGTGAGACCTTGCCTTCACTTGGGGCCTTTACTCAAGGCCTGCTACAGTGATAGTGCTCATCCGCTCCCGACATCACATCTACTCCCGATAGTTTATATTTAAGGGCTCCACATAAGCTATGAGTATTTATTCCTTTACCCAGCAAATATTTACTGAGTTATAACATGTTCAAGATGCATGAACAAGGTAATGTTCAAGTAAAAAATGACAGACATCTTAATTTAGTTATCTTTAAATTAGCCTAATTAGTCCTAAATTTAATTGTTAACATCATCTTCAAATGATCATATGTTTGGCTTTTTAAAACTAAGATGGGCAGATTTCCTATTTTAAAAATCAATCTGATTTAAAATGGGCAAAGTACTTACGTAGACATTTTTCTAAAGAAGATATTACAAACGACCAATAAGCACATGAAAAGAAGTTCAACATCACTAACCCTCAGAACAATGAAGCAAATCAAAACTATAAGGAGATACCACCTCACATCCATTAGTATGGCTACTATCAAATAAAAACAAACAGAAACGAAATAGAAAATACCAAGAGTTGGTGCAGATACGGAGAGACTGGAACTCTTAGGCATGTTTGGTAGGAATGTAAAATGGTGTAGCTGTTGTTCAAAACAGTAAGCTAGTTTCCCAAAAAATTAAAGAGAGAATTAACCTATGATCCAGTTGTTGTAGTCGTGGGTAAATACCCAAAAGAAGCAAAAGCAGGGTCTTGAGGAGATAGTTGTGTGTCTGTGTTCATAACAGCCTTATTTGCAGTAAGACAAAAGCAACCCACGCGTCCATTGATAGATGAATGGGTCAACAAAATGTGGTCTATACACACAATGAAATATATATTTTTTGGTCAGTAAAATTTATGTTAGTAGATCATTTCTAATTCATTGCCATTAAGCACTGTAATATTCAAAAACTCCATTTGAAATCACACACAGCATGAGGGTAACTCCCACAATGTCATTGCAGTGAACACGCAAATGCTCTAAATTACTAGATGGGAAAACATAGCACAACCATGGCTCATCAGAAACTGGGGATAAAAATTCTAAGATATGAGTTTTCTGAATATTGTTTCCCTCAGTATTATAACGTAATTAGTCAAGCAAATAATACATCATTATATTAGAAGTGCTGGGTTCCACCAACAAGCAGACACGCCTGACTCTGAATCCCAACCCTCTGACCCACTTACCACTCGTATGAACCAGGGAGGAAACCTGATCCTACTGCCAAGCAGGGTTATGGTGGGGAAGTGAAACGGCGTATCTGAATGCCTTGTGTATGCTTGTTGTTTATTTCTCAAAGACAAACCTTTCTTGACTGTCACAATGGAAAATTCCTCAGCCTTAAATAAGAGGAAATCCTGCAATATGCTACAACATGGATGAACTTTGAAGACACTATGCTAAGTGAAATAAACTTGTCATAAAAGGACAAATACTACATGATTCCATTTCTATGAAGTATCTAGAGAAGTGAAATTCACAGAGACAAAAAGTAGAATGAAAGGTTGCCAGGAGCTGGGGGAATGGCAGAATAAGGAGTTATTGTTTAATGATACAAAAGTTTGGTAAGATAAAATCTTTCTGGAGATGAATGGTGGTGATGGTTGTACAACAATGTGAATGTGCTTAATGCCACTTAATTGTACATGCAAAATGATTACAATGGTAAATTTTATGTTGTATGCATTTTGCCCCAATAAACAAAAAAGAATTTTTTTTTTTAAAAAGTAATACTTACGGATTCCAGCCCAGATCTTGGGGATTCACATAAAGAATACCAGCTCTGGAAACAGTGGCTGGGGTAGCTGTCCTCAGGTGATGTATTTCAAACAGTAGCCTCATGAAGGGTGTCAGGGCTACACGCTCGTTGCTGGCCAGGGTCAGCACCTGGAATGGGCAGCACAGCGGTAAACAGAGGCAAGCTGTCACCCGGGAGGAAAAGCAGCACCGCTAACATACCGCAGCAACAAAAGGTACTTTCCCCTGGTAGAAGTATCAAAGGCTGTGAGCTCACTGTCTTGAACAAGATGCGCAGTCTGAGTAAAGATCTAAGTTCACCCCTGAGGCGGCCTGACTGACCCTTGAAGAACAAACTCCTAAGTGGACTTATGAATGCCAACCTTAAATAGCTGTGGTAATTATTGCTATGCCAAATACAAGACAATTATTTTCAAAGCTGATCCCATGAAAAGGCCTGAATAGCATAAAAAATTTCTTTAGAATCCAAAAAGCCACAATTATCAATTGTCCAAAGAAACTCATGCAAGTATAAAGATCCCAAGCCTATATTTTATGATGAACAATGTCTCAGTTGAGAAAGTAGTAATTGCTGTTAATTTAAGGTGGTTACTAATTCCATTCTGGGGTAATGATGATTACTGATTTCTCTCTCCTGATCCCAACAATAGACCCTGTATTGCTTAAATGACATCTCACAGACTTATACCATCACCTTTTGTTTTTGCTGGGAATGCTGGATTAACTATGGCAAAAGGCTTGGGAAAGCATTTAAACTCAATCTGTAGTCACAGAAACTAGTTAATTTCAATAGCTATATTTCACCAATTATCAGATGGCACAAACTCATTCTTTTACTATCTAAGTATTCCATTCTTAATCAAAGATGATATAGGATTAATAATTTTTGCCTCCCTCTTACAAAATGGTAAGATGTGTAAACTAAATTCTTAAATCTGTATCTAACTCTCATTAAAGGTAGTTAAATTCATACAGAAAATATATTCCCTGAAATTCTTTCACAGCAAAGTTAAGGGAATTATTAGGGAAGTGCCACATATCAAAACAGGGATTTTTAATTTTTTAATTTTTTTTAAATTTCAGAATCATGGGGTACATGTGAGGATTTGTTTCACAGGTATATTGCGTGTAGCTGAGGTTTGGGCTTCTGACGAGCCTGCCTCCCACGTCCTTAGGGCTCAGCATGGTACCCAGTGGTTTGTATCCCTTGTTCCTCCTTACTCCCTTAGAAGTGTCCCATGTCTATTGTTCCCAAACTCATTCCCATGTGTGCCCAATGGTCACATGTGGTAAGAATACAGGCTAATGAGTAAAAACCAGTATTAGCACCAACAGGAAATGGAAATCTCAATGCACACAAGATGTTATGTTCAAGGTTTAGCACCGAAGTATGAGTCACCTTGTTATCATCCATGACAGTATTTAATGATTCAATCCACATGGGGTCAATATCTCCATCCAGGACTATCCATTTCGGTCCATCATGCGTAAGATTTGCTTGTTCTCGCAGAATGGAAGAGAAGAGACCTATAAATTAAGAGTAAGCAATTCTAATACATAATGGAGTCAAGTGTTACTTATTTCTAAAATAAATGTATATTATTCATCCTAGGAGCTCTTTTATTAACTAGATAGAAGCACTTTTGCTGCCTCTTCCTTGGTGCAGTGCATAACACCTTTCGAGCTACATGTCAGCTCCAGATCCAGCTGTACTATTCACCAAAGGGCAGGTTTCCCCTCCCTGAAAGGGATCTTTAATGTCCAAAACTGAACTTCCCATGTGTCAAAGAGAAATAACAGAACCTTCCTTGATGAACGGTTGTGGGTATTTATGTGGGTAATGCACATAAAACTCAGAACTTGCACCAAAAGAAGACATTCTCTCTCTTCATGCACATAAGCTCAATAACTATTTTAGACCAAATATCAGTTCAGCTCACCTTTCTCTATTTTTCTAAGACAATTTTCAAAGGGCATCATTCTAAAGCTAGAGCAATCGGAAGATCTATGCATGTTATAGAAATTTGGTCTTTGAGATTATATGCAGTGATCATTACTTCCCAAGATGTACAGACAAAAACATTTTAAATCCACAGTCCTGTCACCATTACCACATATCTAAGTATTCTATGTGTTACATGGTGTATTTAATAGCTGATTTTTCAAACTCAAGTATGTAATACCACTGTCTTGATGCACGTATGTGGAGAGTTTCTTCTGTAAGAGATTCTGTGCAAAAAGTGAGTGACAGTATCTGATAGAACCTGCCACTACGTTTCATAAAGAAGCCAGAAACCTTTTCTAATGGTCACTGATTTAAACAGTTTCCAGAAAGTTTCAGGATAAACAGATAGGTTATCTCCTTGCCACAGTTCTTTTCTTTTTTTTCTTTTCCCTCCCTCCCTTCCTTCCTTCCTTCCTTCCTTCCTTCCTTCCTTCCTTCCTTCCTTCCTTCCTTCTCTCTCTCTCTCTCTCTCTCTCTCTCTCTTTCTTTCTTGTCTGAGGTTCTCACTCTGTTTCCTAGGCTAGAGTGCAGTGGCATGAACACGGCTCACCAGAGGTGGCCTTGACCTCTTAGACTAAGGTGATCCTTCCACCTCAGCCTCCCTGGTAGCTGGGACTACAGGTGGGTGCCACCATGCTCAGTCAATTTTTTGTAGAGATGAGGTCTCACTATGTTGTCCAGACTGGTCTTGAACTCTTAGGCTCAAGCAGTCCTCCTGCCTTGGCCACCCAGAATGCTGGGATTACAGGCATGAGCCACCACACCCAGCCAGTTTTTTATAAAAAGACAGAAGCTAGGCTGAAAGGGTAAAAATTGCCCCAAAAAGGAAGGAGTATACACAAGAAGTAGGGCTAGAGAAGGATGAAGGGTATCCCACTTTAGATATGGTCATCAGGGATGCCTCTGATGTGACATTTGACCAGACATAAATTAACATAAGGGAGAAAATCATGCAGGCATCTGGAAGAAGAATGTTGCCGATGGTGCCAGGGTTAGTGCATTTACTGAAATAGGAAGTCATAACAGATTGCAACAAAGGGTTCTGTTTGTCTATAGACACGTTCAGGGCAGTAAACATGCCCTGTTGACTTTTGTCCCTGGCACTTAAGAATAACACCCACCTGAACTTTAGTCAGTGTCTTGTATCAGGTACCTGATAAATGTTTCCTGAGAAATCCATGTTGACTTCTTTCCTGATTTACAGGGAACCCTGATATAACTAATGTGGAATAAAAATACACAGCTCTGAGTACAGATCTGCTGAATGCAAATCAAGTACTTATTTAAATCTAGTTTTAATTTATACATTATAAATGCTGTTGTGATCCACTATATTTCCAATAATGCCAACATATAAACAGTAAATCTGTGACTATGACTAAAATTGGCTTATACTGAGAAACGCCTTTCTGGATAGAAAAAAAAAGTCATTTTTTAGCACTTCTAAAGGGGAAATACAACTTGCCATCTTTCCATTCTCGGGTAGCATGATGTATGAAACCAAAGAGTTCATCAGTTGTCAGAGCTTTAGGGTTTAAGTCATTCCAAACAGGCTTCTGTTTCATGTTAACATATGTTCGGTTCAGTGTTCTCAAAATCTGAGGGGAAGAAGAAAAGAGCCAAAAAAATTAACACTGATGTAAGCCAAATGGAAAGTAAAGAGTTTCTGAAGGATTTTCCTTATTCGTTACGTGTTCCTAGATATTCTGTGTGTGCTAAGATGGAGGCGGGGGAGCATGCACATATGTCCATTTCCATGACCATCTTGACAGGTTTAATCCCACAAACCCTAGATAGTCTGTGTGTGCTAAAATGGAGAAGAGAGAAATGCACATACGAGCATTTCCATCATCATCTTGAAAGGTTTCATTTCACACACCCTTAGGAAGACAGAATGAGTTCACCTGATTCTTTGTTTTATTTTTATTTTTTTCCACCTGATTCTTTGAACCATTTAGACTAAAGAAGGTCACTCTATCATTTGAGATTTTTAACCACGGATGCAGAGTGGACTATAAGTCAATAAGCATTCATGCTCATGTTTATTCAATATGCCTGCCTGAATTATTATGATCTGTTGTTCTCAAAATTTAGCCTACTCCAGAATTGTCTGGAGGGTGTTAAAACACAGATTGCTGGGCCCAATCCTGTAGCTTCTAATTCAGTAGGTCTGAGGTGGAACCTGCTATTTGCACTTCTGGCAAGGGCCCAAGAGGTGCCAATGATACTATTCTGGACACTTTTTGAGACTTAGTGACTTAGAACAGTGGTTCTCAACAGAAGATTGCCTTGATTTGTGGAGAGAGGAGCTGTGCTTCCATTAGATCCCCTATAATGCTCAGGACTGTCCCCTGCAACAGAGTTATCCAGTCCAGAATGTCAACAGTGCTGAGGCTGAGAAATCCTGGTCTCTGTAACTGAGGAAGAGAAGGTTTCAGGATGATAACTCACAGAGTAGGTGCTCAATATACGTATGTTTAATTGACAGCTTACCCCAAATATCGGCTCCAATGCCTGCTCTTCCTTTCCCTGAAAAGTCATGGTTTTTGTTTTAGATATTTATCATCCTGACCTACTCAGAGGGGATTTGAAGAACTGATACATGATTGCTAAAATCTTTGGGATGATACAGCGCTAAATACATGGTCCTAAATTTCAATGCTCTAGTTATATCAGCTTAAGTTACACGTTGAGTAGAACAGAATCAGTGAAGACTAGAGGAAGGAAATTAAATGCTTTAGGAATATTAAGCTTGTATTTTTAGAAACCATTAATCTGCTGGAAATTATAGAATTTAATTCTATCCTTCCTTGAACCATGGCCTACATCTGAAACTTACTCTAACAAAATAATTACAGGTCTATCAGTTATCTACTTTAATATTTCAATTATTATATTTTTCACTAGAAAAATCTATCCAGAGGCTCCCTTTACAATTGTTCTACATTGGGTTCTGGTTTAAATGCTGGCAAGTTCCATATATCCCCATGATCTAAGATCTTGTATGCTCATTCTGGCTATTTTTAATTGTTGGCTACCACATATGTTTATACTCAAGCATCCTGAATTAAAATGCATGCCGTTCTGCATATACCGTCTGCCAACCAAGAAAATAAGTATGTTGCCAGGACCATCAGTAAGACCAAACAAAATCAAGCAGTGAACTAAAAATGGGGATAATAGTACCCATAACGTATCATTGTTGTAGAGAGTAAATCATACCTAACACACCTAACACAGCATAGAATAGGAACCTCAAAATTGTGGGTTTTCCCACCTCCTTTTCTCGCCAAGTTTTCTTTTGGCCCTATAGAGGGCTATATTTCGGAGAAAGCCCTGAAGAAAAATATTTAGGTTTGTTCTTCTTAGTGATATAGGGAGGAGAATCTAGGATGACTTGGAAGAGAAGGTAGTTTTGATAAATGTGGGTAGAGACCATCAAATCCTGCAAGCCAGATATCTTATTACACAATCTCTTGGTATGTTTACCTTTGATAAAAGAATCCAAGCATAATTATATTACTGAACAGTACATAAAGCAGGGTGGTATACACCTAAATGCATGAAGAGGGTGCTAATTACCTCATGTGGAAAGCCCAGTCTTCATTCTGGCTTACTTTTCCATGTGTAATGCAATGTTCTACTTGTTGTCTTTCTCCCCCTCCCAATATAAAGGAAAACAATGTCACTTGATCAAACAGCAACATTGGAATCTCAGAATTATGGCAGGCTTCACAAAGGAAACTCTTTAGAGTAGCATTGAAAATATGCAGAGAGAGAGAGAGAGAGAGAGAGAGAGAGAGAGAGAGAGAGAAAGAGAGAATGTTCCTTCACGGCTGAAAGCTATTAGGCAGTTTACTATACCTTACTCTTTCCTGTGCCTGCATTTCCAACCACAAAGACGGAGTGTCGCACGGCTAACAGTTCCTCAAGTTGGACAACCTGTCAAGCAAACAGCCACTCACTGGTTTCCTTTCACGAGTTGATGACAAAAAGACAGTCTACACATTTTTGCTCAATTCTTTTTTCGTTATGACCCAAGCCAGTTCCTGCTGACAACTGTATGTTTACAAAAAGTTAAAATAGACCACAGGTACAAAGCAGAGTTTCTCCTGAGTCTCTCACACAGAGCACAGGAATGAGAGAATAAAGCAAAATCATTGCTTTATGTAGAACTTGGTAAAGGACAGGGGTTACTTACAAACACCAATAACTCTTCATGAAGTTTTAAACAAAAGCAACATATGAACAATCACCATCTACAACTGAGTACTGATTTCTAGCCTATAAAACATCTGAAGTGGAAACTCTATATGTATTTTCAGGTCCATGTATTCACTAAACCCAAGTTGAACACTGATATGCACAAGCCTTTGATATGTCAGATAACATCTTTCAAAGTTATTCTCACACAGGCTGACATGATTTTACTTCCCATTTTCTCTAAAAAGGAGAGGGGAGGAAAATAAACTTTTGGTGCATGCCACCAAGAAGAACCAAGAAGCTTTACAAACTGATTAAAAGTATGCTTACTTTTAAAACCATGACTTAATCATAGCTAGGTTTTCACCTCCTCACAGAACATGACTACTGGAATATTTACTTCCATTTACTCTAGTTACTACTGCCATATTAAAGTGCTTGAAAGCATATGTTAAGCTCTTACTAGGGTCAGGGTAATATAAGTTAACATCTTGGATTAGCATCGCTTAACTACAGTTATTTCCACTGCAAATCCCAAGGGCTGCCATGAAAAGTAAATGCTCCTTTTACTTTGAGGATGAAGCTCTCCTCAGGCTGCAGGCAGAGCTCCAGGGTAGACTGCCTGACCATCTGTTCAAAGTGCAGCTTCCTCCTCCGGGGCACTTCCAGGGCTGGAAACAGGTCACTGACTAGGCCCAGAAACACTGGGATGTCATCACTTACTATTTTAGGCATATTGAAATCCCTTAATGCTCTCATGAGTACCTAGAAAGGAGGATAGAAAATACTTTATTAAAAAGCCAATGCAAGGTCTAACAAACTCCTAAAGAACCAAAGATGCGATTTTGAATCCTCATATGTAAAGTATGAGATGCTGGTACCATCAGGATGGCATTTTATCTATAGGACAGTTAAACCCTTAAAGTTAACCTACCAGAACACGAGAAGGCTAAACTAAGACCATGGACAAACCTCAGAATAAGATCAACAGGGAAGCCTTTTCCTTCCCTGCCAGTGATCTGTTTCTATCTTCAGGAAGGATCTGAGGCCCTCTTTCCTAAATTCCCAAACTCCAGCATTTAATCAAGCCCATCAGATCATTTTGTTTGAAGTGCTCTGAGAATCTCAGAATGATAATTTTAGACATTTTGAGTTTTTGTTGTTCTATCTTGGCTGTAAACCAGAAGGCTTTAGATTTAAAAGCAGTAACTCAAACATCAGGATAACTTATAGAATGAACTAAGCATTCCAACAACAATAACAAAATAACAAGAGAACAAATAAATAAAAGAAAATCTTGACTTAATCATAAGTTATGAATAGGAGGAAAAGAGAAAAATTTTGGAAATAAAGGTTTAAAAAAAAAATCACATAATAAATTTCCCGTAACATAAAAAAACAGACTAGATCTAGCTTTTTTCTATTTCTCGTCGTGTTGCATGTATATATACTGATCACGTCCACTGCTCTCACTACTTATTTAATAGGGAAAGATGCATGATGTGCTGTTATGTTTCTTTCCAGGAAGGAGAGTAGAACTTTTTCTAGTAGCTCTGAACAACCAACTGAGACTTTCAATGGTGTTAGGCAACCGTCCTGCCCACTTCATATTTCATACCCAACTTACATTTCATGAGATGAATGCACTTTCCCCCATTAAGTTTTCAGGATTAATATCCCAAGTCAATCGAATTTCCTAAATGTTCCTCAGAGGAAATTGAGCCATGATTACTGAATTTTTTGATTATAACTCAAAATACTTTGTGAGGCTGATATTTCAAAAGAACTGATAAAATCACATTTTTCCAGGGCCATATCTTTGCCCTCAGGAATACCTGTGAACTCTTATTACATAAGAAATACCAGTTCTCACAATATCTTATATTAGCAATAGATTTTATTTATTTAAAAGTCATAAAGCTGGATTAAAAAAATGTGGTACATATACACGATGGAATACTACGCAGCCATAAAAAAGAACAAAATCATGAATTTCGCTGCAACCTGGATGGAACTAGAGTCTATAATACTGAGTGACCTCTCACAAAAACAAAAATCTGAATATCACATGTTCTCACTCATATAATGGACCTTGAACATCCAATGCAATACTATGAGAAAATGACGGATGGTACTGGGAAACTATGGGGGGGAGGGGGATGGGATTAACAGTAGCAAATATCTGTCGGGGGATGGGAAAACACTTCTTATCTACAGGGTGCCTGAATGAAATGCCATTGTACACCTAACCCTTAACTGTACCCCACAAAACCATAATAAAAAATACTGATTAATGAAAAGTCATAAAGATCAATATATTAAAAAGATTACTGTACTCATGCATTCACTGCAGCACTATTCACAACAGCAAAATCATGAAACCAACCTAAGTGCTCACCAACAATTGACCAAATTTTTAAAAATGTGGTATATATACACCATGGAATACCATTTAAAAAAATGAAATCACATCCTTTGCAGTAACATGGATGGAACTGGAGGTCGCCATCCTAAATGAATTGACTCAGAAACAGAAAAACAAACACTGCATGTTCTCATTCATATGTGGGAACTAAATGGTTACAAGGATGGAAATAATAGACACTGGAGACACCAATAAGGGGGGAGGTGGGAAGAGGAGTTAGGATTCAGAAATTACCTATGGGATTCAATGTCTACTATCTGGGGAATGGGGAATAATTCATGCATGCATATACCCTGAATCTTAAAAAACAAACAAAAAACTGCAATAATAAAAAAAAAATCATGGTATGCATGTCTCACCCTCCAGATATATACTTTCATTTGTATGAAGCTGTTTAGCTACTTACTCAGAAAAATTGTATGAACATTTCAGTACCTGATCCTCAGGACTGTTTTTATCTCCTCGTTTCAGGGAGCCAGCTACAACCAAGACAGATTTAATAGCACGAAGTCCCCAGTCATAATGATCCTGAAATTAAAACACAGGTTTATTTTCTAAAGAATTTTATGAGAGAAGGAGACTCTCATTACAGAAGTAAAAGCTGAAAGTTAAAAGAGTTCAGATACATACACACTTTCATGATTCAAAACAACATTTTCTTCTCCCCTTTGAAATTGTGACAATCACGTCCCTGTAGTGTTGTCCTGCTTCTTTTGACCGGTTTTTCTGCCTCCGTCAGCGAATCTCTCCTTTCTATAGCCCTTAATTGCAGCATTTACCCACGGGTGCGTCTGTCTCCCTGGCTCTTCCCTTGATAGACCTGCTAACTCAAGAGCTCGGCCACCTCTATGTTTTCACCCCCAACCAGACGATCATTTCTCCAGGTGTGCTGGCTTCACTGAGGGTCTGGGATCCCCCTTTTCCCAGCCTTCCATCTCTAATTGCCCTAATTATTCTACCTCTTAATCACTCAGACACTTCTGCCCTGATGCTGGCACTTAGTATAATAAAAACCATATTATTAAAATTCAATTATAAACCAGGACCTCTTTGAGACTTTCGTTTGAGCCCTAAAGAAGATTTCTCCCACAGGCTCTAAGCTCCCGGAGGATCTCAGAATATCACTACTGAGAATGAGTACATCAAACCAGGCAAAGTGGGGACAAAAGAGAGGCCCAAACTTTACCTCTATGATGTCCACATCCAATCCTGAATTGTACCCCACATCTTAAAAAAAAAAAAAAAAAAAAAAGAATGAGTACGGTGGCAAATCCATGCTCCCTGGGTTCAATTGCATCTTTTCTTCAGATTTTTCCCCATAATAAACATATTTCCTGTGATTCACTGACATCTGCTAGGTCCTAGCATGGTGCATGGCACAGGACAGATGCCCCAGAAGTTTCCCTAGATAGACCAATTGCTTCCATGGGACTGGACTCTCCTTGCTGCCCATCTACAATTCACAAAGGAACAACCCTTCTCTCAAACCCTTCTCTCTGAAAGTCACTCCACTCTCAGAGCCTCAGAAGCTTCATCCATAAGAAGGCAGATAAAAGTATCCACCTGGCCGGGCGCAGTGGCTCAAGCCTGTAATCCCAGCACTTTGGGATGCCAAGGCGAGAGGATTGCCTGAGCCCAGGGGTTCAAGACCAGCCTGGGCAACTTGGTAAGCTCTTGTCTCTGCAATATCTCAAAAAACTAGCCGGGCGTGGTAGCGTGAACCTGTGGTTCTGGCTACTTGGAAGGCTGAGGTGGAAGAATTGCCAGAGCCCAGCAGGTCGATACTGGGGTGGCCATGAGCGTACCAATGCACTCCAGCCTGGGTGACAGAGTGAGACTCTGACTCAAAAAAAAGTATCCACCTACTTTACACAGGATCATAGAAGTAAAATGAGTTCATGCTTTGTGGGCAGTGAAGCAATAGCTACATGTATAGACATGCCATTTAACCCATTAGTAGATAATAAAATCAATTTAGTGGGTTTTGACCATCATTTTTGTCGGTAATAAAATAGAATGAAATGAAAACCACTAGAGTGTGATGCAACTAATAAGCGTAAGAAGTGCTTGGTGAAATGTTTTGGTTCAGTTGTGTGCACGTGTGTGTGTGTGTGTGTGTGTGTGTGTGTGTGTGTGTGTGTGTACTATCAAAAGAAAAAGTAGTTTTTCCTGTAAGTCAGGGTAAAAATTCATTGCAAGTCACTGATCTAGAAGTAGACTGGGGGTTAAGGAGAGAAGGAAGAAGAATTAGAGTTCGGAGGGCAAGCAGAATGGGAGGTGGGAAGTCGTTGTGTAACAACATTGAAAAGAGCCTGCAGAATTTCTGGACACAGATTCAAGGGGACTCGGGGACCCTCTGAAACACTTAAACATGGCACAACACTACTAAAACTATCTTCACCGTTTTCGTTATATCATTCTATTGGTGAAAAAGGCCTACCGATTGTTTTCCAACTCCATCCCTGCAGCACAGAAAGGCATCAGAGAACTGTGCTCCTAACTCAGCTCTTCTGTCCGGGTCAAATTTCTTTTCCCTCATCTCACGCATGACATTTCTCAGCGTTAGCAAACTCTTTCTTTCTCCTCTACCTTTACACTCTCTCTCTCTTTGTATTTTCAACACCTACCTTTGGTAATTGGCTACTGGTGTGTCCCAGAAAGGACTGGAAAGAACCGAAGTCAAATCTTGCCCTCACCACGTGTTAGCTATAAAGACTTGGACAAATTTTTTTCACTGTTTCCTCATCTATAGAATGGGGATCATATTACCAAGCTTGTAGACTTATTGTGAAGATCTTAAAATATAGCATATGGTACCTGTTCAATAATCATTGGTTCCTTTCTACCTCCAACTTTGATTTCATGTAAACTGAGTCACCTGAGTCATTGGAAGTCAGAAATCTGGGTGTTTGTTTCATTTGTTTTGTGTCTTCACCATGCATCATGGTCAGCAATGAGCACAGAACTTGGCTATGTCCACTAAATGCTTAAATATTACCACTAGGAATGAGTACAATGCTAGCTCCATGTTCCTTGAACTCAATTAGATTTTTTCTACTGACTTTTTCCCATTATAAAATTAAAATGGGTCCAATAAAAGAAATCAGTTGCAATAAAAATACCTATCATCGCCGGGCTCGGTGGCTCAGCCTGTAATCCCGCGCCTTCGGGAAGCTGAGGTGAGTGGATTGCCTGAGCCCGCGGGTTTGAGACC